GATCTGGATTGCGTGGATANNAAGACAAAGCTTAAACTGTAAGTTCTCGCGATCTAGGATCAAAATCGAATAGCTATAACCGAATCTTCTTGTTGGTAAGAAAATTTTAAAATTCCGCTGCGTGTGCGATTATTCGTACGACAAAAATCCAACAGTGGTATCAGAGCCAGGTTGGTGTTCATAGCTATTTGATTTGAATTAGATTCATATGGATCCAAAAATCTGCTAATTGCTTTAAACTTGGGTTAAGAATTTGGGTTGCTGCTTTTGTTGTTTACGAACAAATTCAAGATCTGGGAATTTGATTTCCAAATTTGATTTACAAACAACTGATTTGGAATCGCCCATCGTTCTGTTCGAACAAATTGATCAAAATCTGGGTTTTGAATCCCTTCCCGTAACTATGATTATTGTTCGGACCTGCACATTTAATTTTGGGAATTGAATTTCGTTTTGTTCATCTGAATCAACTCTTGGAATTGTACCTGCCCTACCGAGATCATAGAGAGTTTGTTTATGTGCACCTAAAGTTATACTATTAAATTATGGGCTTTCGGACCAAGTGGGAGAATGTAAGAATATGTGGCCCGAAAGCATTGGGCTCACATTTAATTATCCTATTGGGCCAGACCTTATTTAATAGTCAAACAAATCTAAGCTATTAATCTGGATATTTGATGGACGTACCAGATCTAAAGACACCCCTATATAAATGGTTTTGCTCACCTGCCCACGGTGGGCAGTGCCCACCAAAAAATTTTACATGAAAAACGTATTTTGAGAATACGTTTTTCAATTAAATTTAATTGAAAAACGTATTCTCAAAATACGTTTTTCATGTAAATTTTTTTGGTGGGCACTGCCCACCGTGGGCAGGGGATCAGATCTACCTATATAAATTAGTCCTCTCTCCTCCTATTAGGGTACGCAGTATTTTTCCCATCACTTTTCTGCTACATTAACAGAAGGCCAGGAGGGAGAAACTGATTTAGATCTAACACTTAATTCAACCCCGTGTGATCATCAAGATCAAGATCACAAATTATGTCGTCTTCCGCATCAAGTAAGTGTTTCGTATACACACAAATTATTTATTCAAGATCCTTAATGAAGTTTACATGTGGTAATAAGAGCTCAAATTTCAACCAACCAACACAAACACGGCCATGATCATTGGTGTGAATCAATCAACTCAATAATGCAAATCTAACTAATGGCTGACCATAAAGTTACCCAATAACCTTTCAATTTTGTACCTAAATATCTCAACATAAATCAAACTGAACAAGCATGAATGGCAAAGTTCGATTCAGTGCAACTGGCCTCGGAGACTATCATGCACAACCCAGAAAGACCAAAGTAGATAATATGCAACTTTCGAAACAAGTTCAATACTTATAGGCGCCAGTGATAAAATGCACTGATATGCAGGGCCACGCCCTTGAATACAAAGGCACAGATATATATACACGTATTTCGAGAAAGAAAACGTGCATTCAAGCCTTGATTACAAACATATATACTCTTATACCGTGAAAGAACTCAAAATCAAGGTTTATTCAGCATTGCCGCGAAATACATCACTCATTTTTTCAATTGGAACAAACAAGTAATGTGCACACAAGTATATGTAGTTAGAATTACATGAACATAATTCGAACATTGACAGCTACATAATTCAATGAGAAAGCAAAGTGCCTACTTACCATTATGCTGAGAAAAAAAATCAAAAAGTTTGATCTTTTATGCACCTTAATGCCATAAAGCATTTTATAAGGTCAATTTCACCTGCACAAACACAAACACTTAAATGCAAGATTAAGTGTAACCAATTAAAACAGTCATTCCACATTTTTAAATTGGGTTTCATTTTCAAGAAGCTCAAAAATTCATCAAATTCGTGCCAGCCCAGGCATTCAATTGAAGGGAATAAACAAAAAAAAAAAAAGCTGAAATGATACAAATGAAAGCTAGAAAGGAACAAAATCCAAACTCAATCCAGAGGAATCTCCACGTCACCATCGGCAATCTCCTGCTGCAAATCCTTCGGGTCCTTCCCGTCGACGGTGCAGCCGACGGAGACGCAAGTTCCCAGGATCTCCTTCACCGTCCCGCTCAAGTCCTTCGCCATGGACCGCGGGCGCATGACCTTGGCGATCTCGATGACGTCATCGAGTGAGATGTTGCCGTTGTGCTTGATGTTCTTCGTTTTCTTCCGGTCGCGCTCGGGCTCCTTCAGCGCCTTGATAACCAGGGCCGCGGCGGAGGGCACGACGGTGACCTTAGCCTGGCGGTTCTGGACCGTGAGCTTGACGGTCACGCGGAGGCCCTTCCAGTCCTTTGCGGTCTCCTTGGCGATGTCTTCGCCGATCTTCTTGGGGGAGAGGCCAAGCGGGCCGATTTTGGGCGCGAGAGAGGACGCCGCGCCGACCTCACCGCCGGTGACGCGGACGAACACGTCAACCACCTGGGAAGGATCAAACTTCGGCGGCATTTTGGGCGGCGAGTGATTGTTGGGGGGGTGGATTTAGGGTTTGGGGGAGGACAAACAGATTTATATTTAACTAGGGTTTTGGTGGGGATGATGTTGTTTGGGCCCAATAAATTGCGCTATATTTAGTCCGAACGATTGGGCTTTTGTATCTTTTAGGCCCAATTGGGCCAAAATTTCAAAGATTCTCGTAGCAGTCGGTCAAGTCTTCTTTTTATTTTTATTTTTTTTATTTTTTATTTTTTATTTTTTATCCCCATAGATTTTGAAGATTAAAAAAATACAAAAATACAATTGTACATCAACTAGAATAAGTCAAACAGTCACCAAACTGAATATATGGAGACTACCCTATGACGAATCTAGACGCTACTGTAAGTCACCCACAAGACAAACAACTTAACAAACTAAATAAATCTCACAATGAGACAATCCAGCTCCTAGAGGAGGAGAATAACATCAAAGGACAAGAAAAACACACCAACACTACATCACAATAGCAAACACAAACAAAACAACACATACTAAGTAGAATAACACTCTTATATCCACATGCGAGACAATCCTCAACACACCACGGCTCGACAACCAAAGACAACCGCCAACTCGGATAGGACTCAGGCTCGAGCACT